GAGATCGAGACCATCCTGGTCAACATGGTGAAACCCCGTCTCTACTAAAAGTACAAAAATTAGCTGCGCATGGTGGCGCGTGCCTGAAGTCCCAGCTACTCAGGAGGCTGAGACAGGAGAATTGCTTGAACCCAGGAGGCAGAGGTTGCGGTGAGCCGAGATCGCGTCACTGCACTCCAGCCTGGGCAACAAGAGGGAAACTCCGCTCAAAAAAAAAAAAAAAAAAAAAAGAGGAAAAAAGAAAAAAAAGAAAAGGAAAGAAAAGAAAAAGAAGTCAAAACTACTTTCCTTACCTTTCACTGTGGGCCAGCAAAGAGACTCGCTTCCATGAGCAGCTTCCTGTCTTGTTCTCGTGAAACGCGGTCTGTGAAGAGGCCTGGGGGAGACTCCTTCAGGAAAACAGGCCCTGCGGAATGAGACCCAGCATCACGGGACCAGGAAAGCGCCCTGCTTAGGGCACTCTGCCCCATGTTGTCAGGTGACGCAGCTGCTGCAGCGAGCCACGTGAGGCCCGCAGATCGGCCCACCTGAGCCCGGCCCAAATTTGCCAGCACAAAATAAGTTCATCCCTGCGCCCACACCAGAGGCTTCCCAGCGCCTGAGGAAATGGCCTTATCCCTTTTATTATCTGTTCTGCCTGAAACACTCTGCATGTCTGTGATGCTCTTCGCTCCTCTGACATGGTTTCTGGACCTTGCATTTACTTGCTCACTCTTCTCTGGACACGTTCAGGCTGGCCACATTTCTTTTTAAATTGAAGTCACAATTGAAGACTGTTTCAAAGATGATCTGCCTTTTTTTTTTTTTTTTTTTTTTTGAGACGGAGTTTCACTCTTGTTACCCAGGTTGGAGTGCAATGGCGCGATCTCGGCTCACCGCAACCTCCGCCTCCTGGGTTCAGGCAATTCTCCTGCCTCAGCCTCCTGAGTAGCTGGGATTACAGGCACGCACCACTATGCCCAGCTAATTTTTTGTATTTTTAGTAGAGACGGGGTTTCACCATGTTGACCAGGATGGTCTCGATCTCTCGACCTCGTGATCCACCCGCCTCGGCCTCCCAAAGTGCTGGGATTACAGGCTTGAGCCACCGCGCCCGGCCGATCTGCCTCTTTTAACCTAGAGTCGTGCTGCTTTTCCCTACAGCCGTTTCCTCCTCTCTTTCCTGCCCGGCTTCTCAGCCCCTCCCCAGAGGCAACAGTTTTCACACCCCTCAGGGACTAAGTCAAACTTGCAGCACTCCTTTGCAGCACTATCCCTGGTTCCCGACCCTTTCTCTCAGAGCTTTGCTGCGCCAGCTTTTTCTGCTGTGCACTATGCTGGCTGCGCCAGGTCTGGCTCCTTTGACTGGGCCATAAATTCCTTGAAAGCAGCTACTTTCTGTACCTTAACGCTTCACCTGGCACTTGGCACATGTTAAGTGCTCAATAAATGTGTAATGGATTGGATAATTAACTAATATTCTTTTGGTATTAAAATATATTATCTACCGGCCCGCATTTTCCCACAAGGCGATTAAGGGAGACAGGAGACTGTCAGATTCCCGTTTAAACCAGGATAGTATGTTCGTTGAATTTCCCTGTGTTCATTGAAAAAGAAAATGCATTTTGTTTGGAATTACTTTTTCAGCGATCTATGCTGCCGTCTCTCTTTTTTTTTTCAGATGGAGTCTTGCTGTGTAGCCCAGGCTGGAGTGCAGTAGCGCGATCTCAGCTCACTGCAACCTCTGCCTCCTGGGTTCAAGCAATTCTCCTGCCTCAGCCTCCCGAGTAGCTGGGATTACAAGTGCCTGCCACCACAGCCGTCTAATTTTTGTATTTTTAGTAGAGACGGTGTTTCACCATGTTGGCCAGGCTGATCTTGAAATCCTGGCCTAGTGATCAGTTGCCTTGGCCTCCTAAAGTGTTGGGATTACAGGCACCAGCCACTGCTCCCTGCCCTATGCTGCCTTCTTATTAAATACTATCAAGCTTCTGAAAAATTCTGGCAAATATTTAGTTACCATTTCTGGAATGTATATTCACTCTTTTTTTTTTTTTTCTTGAGACAGAGTTTCGCTCTTGTTATGGAAACGAGTGCAATGGTGCGATCTCAGCTCACCGCAACCTCCGCCTCCTGGGTTAAAGCAATTCTCCTGCCTCAGCCTCCTGAGTAGCTGGGATTACAGGCACGCGCCACCATGCCCAGCTAATTTTTTTTTTGTATTTTCAGTAGAGACCGGGTTTCACCATGTTGACTAGGATGGTCTCGATCTCTTGACCTCGTGATCCACCCGCCTCGGCCTCCCAAAGTGCTGGGATTACAGGCTTGAGTCACTGTGCCCGGCCTATTCACTCATTTTTTTAAAAATGGAAGCATTTACTTTAGTTTTGTCTTTCCTCTCCCTCTTACTCACTGCAATACCTCAAGGACTACTTGACATGCACGCTCCAATGTGTTTATTACCATGGCATATAAACAGTCTGGATTGGTAAATCTGGCCTCATTGTTATTATAACAGGACTTTACTTTTGTAAAGTGCCTTACTGGGTACAAAATGTTTTCTCATACCTGACCTCATTTCAGTCTGATGAGAAGCTCTTTTTAAGAGGTAGGGATAATCATCTGTGTTTCGCAGTTAAGAAAACAGAAGCTCCCAAGTCTCGTCAGAGCACCTGAAGTGCTTACTCATCTGTGGCTCCAAGGCCTGTTCGTCCTGTTCTTCCCGGATTAAATATCATTCTGCTCCACGGAGAAGACCAACAACAAAAAAGATGCTGAATAGCTTTGCTTTCTCTTTGCATTTCCTGCCTGCCCTTGTCATTCTCCAACCTTTTTTCCTCCAATTAAAAGATATCTTCTTGGCCGGGCGCGGTGGCTCAAGCCTGTAATCCCAGCACTTTGGGAGGCCGAGGCGGGTGGATCACGAGGTCGAGAGATCGACACCATCCTGGTCAACATGGTGAAACCCCGTCTCTACTAAAAATACAAAAAAATCAGCTGGGCATGGTGGCACGTGCCTGTAGTCCCAGCTACTCAGGAGGCTGAGGCAGGAGAATTGCCTGAACCCAGGAGGCGGAGGTTGCGGTGAGCCGAGATCGCGCCATTGCACTCCAGCCTGGGTAACAAGAGCAAAACTCCGTCTCAAAAAAAAAGGTATCTTCTTGGCCGGGTGTGGTGGCCCACGCCTGTAATCCCAGCACTTTAGGAGGCCGAGGTGGGTGGATCACGAGGTCAAGAAAGTGAGACCAGCTCGGCCAACATGGTGAAACCCTGTCTCTACTAAAAATACAAAAATTAGACGATGTGGTGGCATGCACCTGTAGTCTCAGCTACTCGGGAGGTTGAGGCAAGAGAATCGCTTGAACCTGGGGGTGCAGGGTGGAGGCTGTGGTGAGCCAAGATCGTGCCACTGCACTCCAGCTTGGTGACCGAGCAAGACTCTGTCTCAAAAAAAAAAAAAAGAAAAAAAGTCTTATTTTGAACATGGGCATGTGACTATATTTTGTGTTTGTTGGCTGGGTTTGTTTTAAAGGTAGAGTTATGCTGGTGAGTGCTGTAGGGAAAAGGGAAGAAGGCGCTGTGCTAGGTGTTTCTCCACATTACTAGACCATCATATCGTCATCTAGCAATACAGGTGACACTGTCCTCAATTTTTACAGATGAGGAAAGGAAGCTCCAGTTCTTATGGAGCATGATATACTACAGAGCATAATCTTCTGCCAAAAGATAGTACAAGTAAAGATTTCAAGTGGAAACATCTTCTCTTTGAAGTTTTTTTTGTACAGAACTTAATAAGCATATTCATTTTGTTTTGTTTTTGACTTAAAGGGGAGCTTTAGATCATTTTAAAGGGGAGCTCCATGATGATGCTTCTGTTTGCTGCGGTATTTCCAACTTATCGAGTGGTGGAGGGTAGGAAGGTGGGGGATGGGGGCTCTATCTCTTTCCTTCTCCAGTTGTGCGTTTCTCCCATTTGGCTCAGGTCATCATTAAAATGCTAACGATCCTAAATATATACGCAACCAATACAGGAACACCCAGATACATAAGACTTATAAAAGACTCCTACACAATAATCGTGGGAGACTTCAACATCAATACTAGACAGATCAACGAGACAGAAAATTAACAAGGATATCCAGGACTTGAACTCAGATCTGGAACAAGTAAACTTAATAAACATTTATAGAACTCTCCACTTTGAATACACAAAATATACACTCTTATCAGCACCACATCACACCTACTTACGGGTTTAAATGAAATTCTGGTTGGCTGCCTGTTTGTTATTTTCTTCCCTCATTTTTTCCTGTCTCCATTATTAAGCACAATTATTGGTATAAAAGAGGTTTTCAATACCCATTTTTAGACTGCATTCTAGCCTGGGCAATAAAGCAACACTTCTGTTCTCTCTCTCTCTTCCTCTTTCTTCCTCTCCTTCATTCTTTCTCTTTCTTTTAAAAAACAAAACAAAACAAAAAAACATGACCATGTTACCTAATAAAGTAGAGCACATGCATCACTTACCCACAGTTCATACTCTGTCCTTACAGAGAACAGAGCTCCAAGGAAATGGGCCAGCTCAGCATTTAGGGGGCTGAGGGAAGGGCTGCGGTGTGGGGGTCTGGTACCCATGGGCAGTCTTGGGCAGGGGCACTGGTGCCTTAGAGAGGAATGGGTACCGGGATTGGTGCCCAGGAGGAAAGTCACCAGGCCCCCAACGTAGCTTTAGTTTCTTCTTGAGTCAGTCCTGGCTGCTCCAGAAGTCAGCGGCAGTGACCGTACCTATTAGTTTCAAGGACTGGCAGCACACACTGCCGCCTCAGCCCTCTCGCGCTTCCTGTTAAGGAGTGATGCCTCCTAGAGATAGTAAGCATCTCTCTTTTTAAACTGCATTTTAACAACTCCAAACTTGGTGGTCTCAGAATTATGAACTGCTAAATGTTAGAGATGTAAAAAAATGATTTTTACTGTGACTATACATAATTTTAAAAAAATCTCTCTCTCTCTTCACTTTCTAGACAATTGCAGCATGACTTTCCCAGGGCCCTGATTTTCAGCACGGATGATTTTTTCTTCAGGGAAGATGGTGCCTATGAGTTCAATCCTGACTTCCTGGAGGAAGCTCATGAATGGAACCAAAAAAGAGGTGACAAATTCCTTTCCAAACTCCTAGGAAACCCCAATGTGCACACAGATTGTGGCTGCTGCAGAATGAATAAATTTAATGGAAGGCATTTAACCAGAAGTTCTGCCATTTTTTTTTCCCCCGAAACAACATCAGAGCATAACCTCCTTAGATCCCAGGAGAAAGAAAATTATCGATAGTGGGCTCTGAAATAGGTGGCACTGAAGTTGTGTGAGGAGATGAGGGCGTCCTGTAAGAAAAATGACAAATAGGGATTGCGCTCACCCTTCCCTCTGATTGTTGCATGTTGCTCACTGTTATATAACATTGTGTTGCAGCAAGAAAAGCAATGAGGAATGGCATATCCCCAATTATTATTGATAATACCAACCTCCACGCCTGGGAAATGAAGCCTTATGCAGTCATGGTAGGAAGAAGTATCATTCTGAATTTTCAGTTATGGACATTTTGTGAGAAAGCTGAAGCATCTGTTCTTTCCTCTTTTTCTGATCTTCCATGATTTCATATTTGCTAACAGTAGTTCTCCCAGGGAGCAGGTGAAGAGGTTTTATTTTAGTGTTTCTCTGCTGTTCAATGACTGAAATTTGCTGAGATGCCAGTCTCGCTTCAGGATACAATTTAAAAATAGTCCTTGGCAAATGGTCCTTGGTGTGAATTCTTGATAACTTTTCTGTCTTAATTACTTTCCTAAGGCGAGGCATACAGAGGAGCACCTACTGAAATGTGCAGAGCAATACTGAACTAGATGACGCTCCTAGTGGAGTTACAGGTCACAACAGGACCGTTCTGCTCTGGTGAGCCGGGGATTTCCACACTGTGTACTGTTGCTGCCTGGGAGTTCCAGGGCAACGAAATATTTTAGTTTAAAAACAGATTTAGGGCCGGGCGTGGTGGCTCATGCCTGTAATCCCAGCACTCTGGGGGGCCGAGGCGGGTGAAATCACTTGAGGTCAGGAGTTTGAGACCAGCCTGGCCAACATGGTGAAGCCCCGTGTCTAGTAAAAATAAAAAAATAGCTGGGCGTGGTAGGCGCCTGTAATCCCAGCTTTTCGGGAGGCTGAGGCAAGAGAATTGCTTGAACCCAGGAGATAGAGGTTGCAGTGAGCTGAGATCGCGCCACTGCAGTCCAGCCTGGGTGACAAGAGCGAAACTCTGTCTCGAAAAAAAAAAATTAAAAGTTAAAAATTTTTTAAAATTAAATAAAAACAGATTAGGATTAACACTGTAACCTTCTGAGATGGTAGAATGCAAATGTAAATACAAAATAACTCAGCTCTCCATTGTCAGAATAGCAAAGAACAGTATGATGCATGTAACAAGTGTGTACATTATCCTTTAGTTGTGAAGTCTATTTGGTCTTTTTCCATACATATTCCGTCTCTTGTGATAATGTTTTCTTTCCCTATTGGGTCTAGAAAGGAGGATAGATCCAGAACCATACAGATGGCGCAGGAAGCAGAGAGTGGAGTATCCTCCTAGCATCATGCAGTCTCCACCTGGTTAAATTGTGCAATGAATAGCTCCAGACAGGAATCATGATTTTAGGCTTCTTTTTACATTTGGGTGAACTGGCATACCTACAGGTGTGCTTTTCGCTAATGATACACTCATCAGTTCCACTGAGGTCCAGATTGTGGGGCTTTGGTGAGTGTAAGGAAGAATGAGCCCCAAACTTGTGGCTACTTCAGTTCATGTGGAGTCTACTTGGGCAGGAAATGAACAGGCAAGGGAAGAGCCAAGTGAATGAAAGCCACCACTTTCAACCAAGTGACAAGTAGCCTAAGGGAAGTCATCTTACTTTTGTTTTTGTTTTCTTTTAAGACAGAGTTTCACTCTGTTACCCAGGCTGGAGTGCAGTGGCATGATCAGAGCTCACTGCAGCCTCTGCCCCCCGGGTTCAAGCAATTCTCCTGTTTCAGCCACCCGAGCATCTGGAATTATAGGCGCCTGCCACTGTACCTGGCTAGTATTTGTATTTTTAGTAGAGACGGGGATTTGCCATGGTGGTCAGGCTGGTCTCGAACTCCTGAGCTCAAGTACTCCACCCACCTTGGCCTCCCAAAGTGCTGAGATTACAGGTGTGAGCCACCGTACCTGGCCTCATTTTATTTTTTATCTTCTGGATATGTATAATCTTTTTCAACCATCCTCAGCTATTAATTAGACTCAGAAATGAGAGGTTTCCAGTTGTGTTATTTAAATCCTTCCCAATTGAGAAGTGCTCATCTAAAGAATGAAAAGGAAACCTTTTTGCTTAGCTCTTTCCACTCTAAACAAACACAATAAATCATAGTAATAGAAAATTCAGTCTGAGATAAGGTAGTAGTCAATTTACAAATGCAAAGAATATTTGGGTGTTCATATGGAAATTATATTTTTCTAAACTCAAGGAAATGGGGTCCAGTACATTGAGCCAAATTGTGCAGCACAGTGGGGAGAGCTCCTTTTGGAGGAGAGAGAATGTCAAGTAGGTGACTACCACTCTTATTTCACCAGTTATGTTCCTATGTACTCTCACTTTCTAAAGCAAGGAATGAGGAGTAGGACAAGGCATCTGACAACTAAATCTACAAAAATCCTGTAAGTGACTCTGAGAAGTCACTGAGTTCATTGCTCATACCTGTGTTGAGGACATTTTAAACAAGCTTAGTCATCTATTTTTAAAGATGTCCAAAACAAAGAACCTTTACGAATTTCCTGCATACTAGATAATATTGACCACAATTTATCATTGAGAATTATGAGAGTGGCTACGGATGGGAATGAGACAACTGCATTTATTATGATAAATTAAGGCACTGGATTGCTCGTAAAACAAAAGGAATTCTAGAAAAGAGTTGTAGTAAATGTTAAATGGCAGCATAAACATTCCCAAACATACATACTATGTCTTCAATGTTTTATGTACTTTTGAAAAATCAGGCACTTGAAAATAACTATGAAGTTATATTCCGAGAACCTGACACTCGCTGGAAATTCAACGTTCAAGAGTTAGCAAGGTACTTCTTTGTTTTTCTAGTTTCTCATTATGTATCCTGCTATTTTCAGGTATTTCAGACCGAACAAAAGAATCTTTTCAGGCTGGAAATGGACATGGTAGTTTTCAGGCCAGAAATGGTAATTCTTGGAAATTGATAACTTTGGAATTATTAATATGAAGACATAGTTTTGGGTCAGTTTTCTAATACAATGCTAAATGCTAAATCTTGGCTTGGACTTAGTCCTTTAAAAGGATGCACTTAACATTCTGCTAAAATGCTTCTTCATTAAGGAACTTTTAAAACACTTTCTCTGCATGGGACTGCACATGTCAATGGTGTTTTTGCATTTAGGCTAAAGATCCTTAGATGTTGAGCAGCCTCTGGTTCATTTATGATCTAGATGCTGCTTCTACTTTATAAGCAGTAAATGTTCAAATAATACTAACTTGATTGAATGCATGGGTTCGGATATTCTCTATCTGTATTATTTGATAATGTCTGTGACTTAAAATAGCCAGTGAGATAAGAATTTACTTCTTAGGAGTAAGGCTGGTTCCTCGTTTGGTAATTGGCAGATAGTGTTTTCAAAGTAGATCTGTGGGCTGCTCCATCAGAATTGCCTCAGGTGGTTATTAAAATGCTAGTTCATGGACCCCCATTCAGTAGTTGGAATCTCTGGTAATTATATTTCTCACTATATCCCCAGTTGATTCTTATGCCCACTAGAATTTAAGATTGTTTTAATAAGCATCTCCTAGAAGTATATATCAGGGACTGACCAACATATATAGGTGATAGATACATGCATGACAGTAACAGGCAGATGTATGATTTAAAAAAAATCTCATGGTGTTCTTTTATGTCTTGAAGCATGTAATTGAGAGGACCAGAAAAAAGCATTTCTGAAGCTTTAGCTCCTTGCTAGCCTCAGAGTGGTTTGGGGGTGTGCAGGGCAGCATGAAAAACATGAGTGGAGGCTGAAAGAGAACTGCTGAACAAGACGTTACACTGTTGCCAGAGCTAAGTCCTGAGAACACAGACTGCAATATTTGCAATACTAGAGGGCTTTTAAAACATAAGTAATTCATTGTGATATTCTGCCTTAACTAAATGCATTTTTTTCCCATATAGAAGAAACATTCATGGTGTCTCAAGAGAAAAAATACACCGAATGAAAGAACGGTATGAACATGATGTTACCTTTCACAGTGTGCTTCATGCAGAAAAACCAAGCAGAATGAACAGGAACCAGGACAGGAATAATGCATTGCCTTCCAACAATGCCAGATACTGGAATTCATACACAGAGTTTCCATACCGGAGGGCTCATGGCGGATTCACAAATGACAGCTCCTATAACAGAAGGGGTGGTTGTCACCACGGAGATTAGAGGCCTATCTTATACCCATTCAGAATTTTCCCAAGTCAGTTTCTACTTCGGTTTTTATTATTTATTCTTTGTGGCATTTTAGTCAGAGTTCCAATTCCAGTGTAAATAGCTGAACTCAAAAGTTTCTGAGCAAAGTCATTATATTATCTTCACCAAAATTTGTTAAAGTGCTTCTATATGCATGGTCTGATGCTGGGAATTCTACAGGTTTGATTAAACAGTCTCTTTCTCTAGGGAAATAATTTGAAACCAAAACTAGAGAACACACCCAAGAACATAATTATTTACATAGGTTCATAGATGAAATAAAGTGTTTATATTATATATAAGCTTCAGTACCATTTTCTCTGAAGTGATCTATTTATTTTTTTCAGGAAATTCATCTCCATCAAGAAAGTTGGGAAGGTGGAGAGAAATGGTTGTGGGGGCAGGGAGGGGGCAGGAAAAGTTTTAGTGCCATTGCTACTTTGATCATCTATGTATCTAAAAATGTGAGATGTGCGACTCTCTGATGACACTGATTTTCCTTTAATATTAGTATGCCATAAAGTATACATCTAAGGAAACACTGTCCTTCAAAGTAGACACTTTGGGAAGTTATTCCTGTAATTATGTATCTTTGTTAAAAATGCTGTCAAAAACAAAAAACAAAAAACAAAACAACAAAAAAAAAAATGCTGTCAAATCCTTAAGAGCTATAGGAGCTAGAGGGAAATCAGTGTCATTACTTAAAGTCACACCTTGTGTTCTTACTACCACTTTATTTAGCAGGATTACACCTGAATAACTTTTGGCTGTTGTGCTAATAGTGTAAATAAAATAAGCCTGCCTTCATAAAACACTTTTAAAATGAATAGCTAAATAACTTCTAAAATTATGCCTATTAACATGTGTAATTAGTTGGCAGCTCAAATGTTTGGGAGTGCAAGAAATTAAGCACCCCAGGATATAGGTCATACAGGGATATAAAAGCCATGCTCATCACAAAATGAGCAGTTGATGTTTTATGTGGCATTATTTAAGACAATAAAGTCCTCATAACTCTGGAATGTCTTCTTATACTGATGTGGAATTTATGAATCCAAATTAATTTTCAACAGGTTGGGGAATGAGATTTAATGGGAGACCATGATAGACAAGACTGCAGAGGATGTATGCTCTATTTCTTGTTAGCCAACAGCTTCTTTCTAATGTTCTGTGAAAACTTCTAAGTGTCCTATATACTGGTGCTTTTATGGTTATTAAAAATTGTAAATGGTATTCACATTTATATGGATGTCATTGGATTTTTTGGTTCAACAATAAAAAAATTTAATTACCTAAATGCCAAGAAACACCAATATACCAGTTTTTCTGTATGATAGGCTTATTTGCTAGTCTTTCTTTTTGTTAATAGGAAGCATAAAGGTAAAGACAAAAGCAATCTTATAATTTACTTGCTTATATGTTTGATCTGCATACATGAGACTGTTTTAACATTATCTGACACTACTGAAACCTGCTCAACATCTCCATGACTACCAGCAACATGAATAATGTTTTCTTCATTAACATTTAAAACTGCTATTTCCTTTGAGTAAGTTTGGCTGACAATATAATAGCAAATCCCAATGGGTCTAAGGTGTTAATAGTTTTGCTAAATTCTACATCTCCAGGCATAACATAATCATCCGCTAATGGTCCACTTAATAATGCTCCCATTTTCCAGGCCCAGGTAATCCTGGGTATCTCTGTTGATAGGATGGTTGCATAACCAGCTCTCAATATAGATAGCTTGACTCATCTGGGTGAGGTGAGGGGAGAAAGGTTAGAGAGCCCAAAGTGGAAATTACCCTCCTTTGATTCCACAAGAGAGGTTCAAAGGACCAGATTCAGGCTCTCCTGACTTGGCTGGCTCCCTGCTGTAGGGTTTTTGGTTCACCTGGGTTGAGGGAGTGACCATTATGGAGAAGTGGCTCTGAGTTACCTAACTTTTATAGAGCTCTAGTTTCCTGGCTTATTTAATATCTCTTCTTTCCCTAGCTGATTCCTGAAATACATGGTTTGTAAACCATAAAAATTGATTCAATGCCATCAACTTTATCCCAAATAGAAGTGATCTGTTTTTCCTTTCAACTCCCATGGCTCCTGATTTGTGTAACTCTTTGAACACCCAATATTGACTTGTATTGTGTTCACTGTTTGCATCATTCATAGAGCTGGTAATGCTCTATATGTGCAGTAGGCTCTCATTAAATGATTGCTGAATAAATAACACACATTTTTACCATTTTTCCCTTGTGATACAGTATATGTTGACTTTGTAATTAATAATTTGTCACTTTTGGGGAGATAATATACACATATACTCAAGCTTCACATTTTGTTCATGTAGGCTGGATATTATTTACAGTTTATAAAAGAAAGTGTGTGCATTAAATATCTATCAATCTATTGGGTGTTCTAAATGAGAATAGACAATAGCAGTTTTACCAAGGATTCAAAAAAGAAAGGTTAAATTCCTATAATTTTTTCTGTTCACCTGAAACCCAAGTTTCATTCCTTGTTCTAGAGTGGATCACTGGGAAATTAGGATGTAAAAACAAAACTGTTTTAGAAATAAAACTTAAGTCACATTAATAAGACTTACAGAATACTTAAGTTACAAAGAGTAGCAAAATAGACAATTTTGTTAATGCTTTTTACATGAGAGAAAAATCATGGATCACAGTTATGGAGGAAACAAGTTAATTTTTAAAAACGATTTATTTTTAACTTTGAACATATTTATAATTAGATTTGAAAACATGATATTATATATATATGTAAGATATTAAAACATTTGATTTAAGAACTTCTCCATCCTATCAATTCCTAGTTAGAACTGCTTTGTCCCTTTTCTCTATTAAACATAAGAAAGTAACAGATGAGGCTGGGTGTGGTGGCTCGTGCCTATAATCCCAGCACTTTGGGAGGCTGAGGCGGGTGGATCACCTGAGGTCAGGAGTCTGAGACCAGCCTGGCTAACATGGTAAAACCCAGTTTCTACTAAAAATGCAAAAATTAGGTGGGCGTGATGGCATGTCCCTGTAATCCCAGCTACTAGGCAAGCTGAGGTGAGAGAATTGTTTAAACCTGGGAGATGGAGGCTGCAGTGAGCCAAGATCACACCACTCCAGCAAGGGCAACAGAGTCATAGATTTCATCTCAAAAAAAAGATAACAAATGAGAGTATCATCTTAAATTGAACTAATCTTCTGCTTTTGTGGTGAGTTTAAAAGGGCATAGGCTCTAGGTCCTGTGATAGTGCTAACAATAAAGCAGGCAGAATCAGTGCCAATCTGAAAGCAAAACATTTTCTCAAGTTTGAGTTTGGATGACCATTTTGTTGAAAACAATTATAAAATCTGATTTAAAGTATTTGAATTTTTAATTGAAGTAATTTAATTTCAGAGATCACATTGGGATACTAAAAAGGAATTAAGAGTTACAATGAGGGTTCTATTTTTCTTATAATCATGCTGACTTAAGGATGAAGAATTGCTCAAAAGGAAACACCACTCTATCATATTCATCTGGACTCTGGAACAGGATGGAACTCTAGCAGAACCAACATATACATTAAGGAACACTATTTCATAGTGAGTTACCTGTAAAAAAAAAAAATACCCTAAAATAGTAGCTAAACTAAAAGGAATTATCTGCATCAAAATAACTGTACTAAAAGATATCATTTCGTTTAATGACACAATCTAAAAGAAAAGGATAAGTTTATTTCACTTGTAAAATGATACTTGTAGTGATCAAATCTAAAGATGTAAAGATTTTTTTTTTCCCATTCTTTTTTTTCTTTGTAAAGATGGGGATCTCCCTATGTTGCCCAGGCTGGTCTTGAACTCCTGGCCTCAAGCACTCCTCCCAGCACAGCTTCTCAGTGTTGGGATTATAGGCATGAGCCACTGAGCTCAGCCAATTTTTCTTGATTAGTTAATAAGGTACATTCAATTTTAAGATATGCAACTGAAATAAAAGTATACCAATACAGAATCAAGCAAAGAGCGTACGATATACAAACACTTAGGTAAATTTGAGACTAATTTCTTTTCTTATTGTGCAACATAAGTACTAATGTGTGGTTTGAAATTACATTCCAGTCTTACAAACTGGAAAGTTAAGCGTCAATAATTTGTTGTCACCTTTGCAAATTCTTATATTATTCAGTTGTACTTGTGTCCTGCATATTATTCTCACATTCTTCTGTACTGGCCTGGGAACTCTCCTGTTCTTTGATCAGAGATGTAGTAGAACATCTTTTCAGTCTGAGATAATCTTTTGAACTGGTGGGAGCAGTCCTAGTGGATTCACTGACAGATATAAATTGTTTTTCTCCTGTTGAACCAGACAAAAGAGCTTGGGTATTTATTAATGCAAGTTCTTCATCAGCTACTGAATTACTTTCCAAAAGAGAAATTTCACTGAATTTTTTAAATGGAGTCACCTGCAGAGAATTCAATTCTTTTTTCTTTTTAGGTGTTTCGTATTTGGTGCCACAACTCCTTGGTGGTTGAAATGCCTTCTGTGCAGCTGGAGAAACAAATGTACAAATGGGACTAACAGGTGGAGGTAAAGGCAGTCTACTCAAGAAATCCAAGGCTCTTCTCTTTTTGCAGGTTTTTTGGTCATCAATCTCTTTCTCCCCTTTACAAGAAGACTTTGAAGTCATTTGGGCTGATACAGGTGTGGAAACAGACTTCCTTTTGGGCATACAAAATGATAAAGGACTTTGATAATTTATATCACAATTAGGAGAAGACATCTGTTAAAAAAAATTAAGTAGCCTATCATAATTATGTACTAACTTAAAAAACTAAATCAAAGTAACTTTTCTTTGAAAATATTTAAGCACTCAAATATCAAACACAGTCTCCCTCCCGATTGCTAATAGGTTAGATAATTTCAGTTCATATTATCCCTATTCTAGAAGGAAATAATTCTGCATAAGAGCATATACAATGATATGAAAAGAAAGGAAGATGAACAGTAATCATGGTAAAAAAGGAGGTAGGGTCAGATTTCATGAGACTTAAAAATTTAAATTAAAAATAAAAAAAAAAAGGAGGTAGGGGATGTCAACTTATACTTTAATCTTTTTTATTATTAACAGGTTAAACAAAGATAAACATTTTAAAGCCATCTTAAGGACACACACTACCTGGGTTCTAATACTTACTTTTCTAGCTTTGGGACCTTATTAGGCAATTGCTTAACCTCTCTCTATGCCATAGTCTCCTCATCTATAAAATGAGGATAATACAGTAAAGTCCTCACTTAATGTCACTAATAAGTTCTTGGAAACTGTGACTTTGAGTCAAACAATGTATAGCAGGTCTTTGAGCAATGTCATTTCCTTCAACATCATTTTGTTAGAACACTGATGAGAAACAAATACGGTTTTGTTATACATCACTTCCGTTAAAATCAGTTTCCGAAAACCTATTGACAATGTTAAGTGAGGACTTCGGTTTTATCTCATAGGGTTGTTATGAGGATTAAATGAGTAAATATAGATACATTTAGCAAATATTAGCTATTTAAGAATGCGCTATTAGCCAGTATTAAAGACTTTAGCTTGATTTGCATCTATTCTGATTTAACCACTTAAACAGCTTAGAAACAACCCTGATTGTATGGAACACTAAAAGAAATAGGCAGAAAACACTTTTCAATCACATGTAAATGAAAGCACCTGATTGGAAAGTTTGCACCCAAAGTTTCATATCTTCCTTCAATAAATAAAATTTCTAAACAGCCTATACTTATAGGAGCCACATAACCACCACACTTTCTAATTAAGTTTAATTACATTTTACCATGTTTACTAAGTATACAACAGAATATACGATGGCCTCCATATATAATATTTATAATATTACTTAGGTTTACATTAACTTACCAGAAGCTTATTTCCTGTACCAAGAGGGATTTGGGCTGTGTGTGGCTCTGAAGTGTAGTCTTTAGTTGGGGTGGACCACTTGTGATCATTTGCCTGCAGTATATGCATAAGCTTGTTTTCTGCTTCATTGCAAAATATGTCAATATTCTAAGAAAATAGTGGAAAAGCTGCTTTATCAATTGCAAACCCAAATATTTATGTTTCTGAAAGTATTTCCTTTAAAAGCAGAAATGAAAAGTTCAGACCAAAAATGAATGAGGCACCCAAAATGTGACACCAACTGTCAAACATGCTGAAGCAAAATTACAAAACCATTATCAGTGATTTCGGGGAATCTAGTTGATAGGGAGAGGGGAAGAGAGAAAAAGTGTGTGTGTATGAAGGAAAGAGATCTCTCCAGCCATTTAGTTTAATCAGCAAGCTGTCATATGATACTGAATTGAAGCTGGAAGACTGGGGCTCAAGTCTCAGCTTTA